TATATATATATATATATTATATATATTTCATTTGGATTATCATCCTGAATTGCATTAAAGTATGATATCTCTCGGAAGATTGTCGGGGGCTATTCGCCGATCACAACGAGGTCGAGAAAAGTTTTTTGAAGAAAATTCTATCCACCCGTTTCCGCAGGGACAGGAGGAGTGGCATCGTGGCGCATACAAGGTATTAAATATAAAATATAAAACTGTTATTCTCTCTCTTCTTCTCTCCCTCACGCGGCGAAGATGTGGAATGGCAACTGTGCGTATTGGGCGAAACTGGGTTTGACCCTTGACGGCCCCCATAAATATCCAACGTTGGCAGCTTGTTACTTTGCGCCACGTGAATCTCAAGCCGACCGTAACGACCGATAGTCTTCGGCAGCGCTTCAAGACATTGTATTGACTAATCATTGAATTTTTTTTTTTTTTTTTTTTTTTTTTTTTTTTTTATCTATTGACCTATCCTCTTATTTTTCTTAACTTTGAGGACTGTGTCGAAACGCATCTGCATGCAAAAGTATATTCGTGCTATTTATCTCGTTACAATAACTTTCTCCAAGTGCTATTCGAGGTTTATGAATCGCCAAGTTCCAAGATCGTAAAAACGAAGGGTTTATCAGTCCATGAATCTCCTTATTTAAGAACGCGCAAAGAGTAATGAACTTAAAAATCCTTAACGAGCTAAGAAACCAAGTTCAACTTCCGCGAGTATTCCAACAGAGATCCGAGAAGAAGCCAAAAGAACAACTCGACGCTCGAATTGTTCCGATTTGAAATTTCCAAGAGTAAGAATTGCGTCAAACGAATTCAGTGAACATGGCGGGCCAATACGTGGAAGAAAGCCGCTTTCTTTCCTCGTCTGCATTCCTCAGTAATTGCGCGCCGTGGTCCCTTCGCTGTTGTTCCTCTTCCATGCCGCCTGTTTCCTTCGTCCGAAGAAAGGAGAGCTCGCATTCACGCGCCCGCGCACGCCTTTTCATTTGTACACCCTCCTAGGATATACTTATAATAGGTGGGCCGTGCGTGGCAAACAGGGAAGAGGCCGCCGCGACGCGCCTAATCACTATAATCGTCCTCGCCAATAATTAGATTATTTTCAGTGTCTTCCCCGTCGCTGTCCCTCTCACGCCTGTGATTACCGGCCTGAACTTATCATTATCATTACATCCCTGCATCGATCCTCGCCCGCCTCGGGCGCGCCCTAAGAGAATGACCGTGTTTTTTTCGTGCGAGACCAGGGCAATAATCTTAAGACATTTGATATTCCCGAAAAGGTAAATTAGGACATTGTAAGCCTACCTATATAACTAAGCTCTGTAAATTTATTATTATAGATGGGGAAAACAGGAGCGTTATTTCGTTTCTCGGTGTGGGACAAGCTGGCTTCGGATTATGGATCTTTATTTAAACAGAGTCGTGGTCGAGCTAATTAAACGAATTAGTAGTAGTAAATATTCGTAATAAATTTCCAAGAATTCTAGACACAAATTTCTCACGACGTTATTGCGACGACGAAGCAGTTGTAATTTGCAGAGTTCTCTCTCTCTCTCTCTCTCTCTCTCTCTCTCTCTCTCTCTCTCTCTCTCTCCCCGTTACGTCGATTGGTTCTGACGCACTTCTAGAACGCGCGTTTCGGTACTTGCAGAGACTCGAGGGTGTTCATTATGCCACTTGAAGGTTTATTACGAGATACAAAATACTCTTATTTTATTAGTCGTCGACCGGCTGCAGCGGAATTCTTGAACCTTCCGCGTAACGTATTATTGCCGCGGAATTGGAAGATGGAAAGCCCGGGGGTGAGTCTTGGTCATCATTATCGGAGTCCCTTTGAGGACTGGAGCGCATAACCTCCATATTTTTTTTATTAATAATAATCAG